TATATATATATATATATATCCGTAGTGTCTTGGACTGTAATTTATTGTGTTTTATTGTGAACAAAACTATTTTCAGTCAAACTTAAACCCAAAGGAGTTTTATTTTTGTCTTTTTTCTTGCTTTTGTTTTACACTGACTGAAAATATCCGTTGTATGTTGCCTTTGATACCAATTTTATTGCTGGAATACTTGTTTATTGTTTCAGCATGACACTTGGCTGAGTGTATTAGTAGTGTGTTTGTGAGAGCCACACAAACCAGAATGATACTGACAGGAAGTATGTGGGCGAATTCTTTGTTTTATTTTTTTCTTTCTTTTTCTTATTATCATGTTTGTTTGTTTTTTGTTTGTTTGTTTTGTTCTCACAGAGAGGTGTGGAATGTGCAATACCGCATACTGCAATCTATGCAGGCCAAGAATTGTGGCACTTTATTTTCTGTCTATGGGATTTGTAAGTGTACAGGCAGAAATTACTTGTATTTTTCAAATGTTATATCTTTAATATGAGGCAAAACAGTATTACAACTACCAGAATCTCACAAACAATGCAAATGAGAATTTGACTTTTACTTTTCATATTATATGACTGGCATATGCTGTCAAGCACCTTCATGCCAGATATCCATGGACCTCAAATTTGATTATCAGTGAGAATAAGGATCGAAAATTGACCACTTTTGGCCTTTTATATTGCTGTTGGATTTCATTTAAAAAAATCTAACAAATGTCTGTGAAAGATATTAAGATAATCTAATTTCAATGGCCACACACAAAGGATTTTATGTTTTTTGTGAATTAACGTTGAGAATGATTCTATTTTTTCTAAACCAAAATGGAGCACGACCACAATTTCCTGCCATATGGTGGTTGAAATGATGCGTGCCTTTTCATAACACTGCTGTTTATGAGAAGGCAGCAAGTCATTTTGCTTTGTTCATATAGCACTGTACAGAAAATTCTAATTTTATAGGAGAAATCAGGTCTTTATGTAATAGATACAAGTAATGTTATTGAGTTCTCAGGTTTTCTATAACTCTCTGATGTTCCGATTGGATAGATTCTCTGTTTTTTCTTTAACAGCTAATGTCAACTAGTTACTTCTGTACTTTTTGAAAGGTGATGTTGTCAAATCCACATTGATGTCTTGGCTCCTGGAGTAAGGAGTGGCAATATCTCTCCCTCCTCCTGGGTAATCTGTGCACCACATTCAGTGTCCACCCCCATCAGTCTTCAGTGAGGCAGGAAGGAGCACAAACGAAGGGACAGAAGTTTAGGCGTTAGAGTTTAAGAGCTGAGAAGTAGACAGAAAGGAAGAGATGTGTCTAACTGAGAACCTGGAAGGCAGAAATAGATCTCTACTGTCACTGAACTGATACATCTGATTATTTCCCATGCTTACACCGTTGAGTGCTTCAATACCTACAGCTTCAGAGGCTCTAACCCCATAGCATGCTCTCAGGAACAACAATCAATGGGTAAAAGGAAGGCTAGGATACAGGCAGGTTTTGAGAGTTAAGAGGAGAGGTGAAATGGGGTCCTCCCAAATGGTTTCATCACATCAATGATCAGTTGTGGTCCATATTTCCTTTTGTCTGTGTACATACTGTATACCCAGACCAACACAATTTAACTTCAGAGATCCATGTGAGAGCTCATAGAATTGTCTTTCATGTGAAATTATTGATCCCTCATTGGAAACTCGGATTCTTTGGTACTCTCCAAAGTAAAATGTCAGTGGTGGTTGTTGTTGTTTGGGGTTTTCATTTGTCTTTTTTCGTTCATTAAAAAAAGAAAGGTTAGATAATAACCTTCTAGTTAAAACTATCTTTTTCTGTACCTGTACGTTCAATTTTACGTTTTCTTTTCCTTCATCCCTTGTTTGTAGTAACCATGTATCTGTGTTAGCCTCGGGTAATCCTTCATTTTGACAAGTAGGGTAGAGAAACAAGGGATTTGGATTGATCAGCTATATTCCCTTGGAATGATGTTTGTGTGATAATGAAAATAATTCTGTGAGCTGACAGTGAATGGACTGGACTGTGCTCTGTCTTACTGTCTCACAATAGCATTATCATGTGTGATGCTGTACAGAGTGAAAAAGGTTGTGTCTTTATTTTCTCTGAGAGGAATGGGTATTGTCTGTGTCCCTCATGCGTGCTTACCAAACCTTGCTCCCTAAAGCATTGTTTCTTCTTATTTCTCTGTGTATCCTGCCTCTTACATTTTTTGTTTTTGGATTTTTTTTCTGTTCAGCTTTGGAGAACATTATCATTAGACACATTCTGAGCTACAGACTGTTTATGTACAAAGCAACATCTTTGTATGCATGTAGTAGTCCGAACAATTATGTGACCACAGAACACTTGTATGTATGTCAACATTTCTGTAGAGCATTGTTCCCCATTACGTCTATTAGCATATGCAGAATAACAAATAAATGTGTATATAACTTGTGTGTCTGGTGTTTTCTACTCTACAAATGAGCTGTTGTTTGTAGACCACATCAGCAGTTTCTGCATGCATTTTTTTTGCATCTTAAAGATCATTACATAATATGATACAAATATGAGTTAATAAATGCATAGAACTAATTAAAACTAATGTTGCATTTGCAGCAAGAAAGTATGCAAAGTTGTTCTTCATATCCAACATTGCAGACAGATCAGCATTCTGGCGTAACTGGTTGATAAATGATTTATCAGTGGAGGGAAATGTAGTTCCATTAGAGGCGATTAATGGATCTTCACATTTCTGTTGCTTACAAATAGTGATACTGAACATACAGTCCTATATGTAATGTCTTAAATATAAGGAAGCCATACACTTGAGCTAAAGAGGTTAATAATGCTTTATACAAATGTATTGGCCTATTATCACTGTATTTACTGCATTACATGAGGATAGAAAGACAGAATCTATTAAATTCATTGTGTCACAGAGGATCATACTTGCAGCAGGGTTATCTATTACACTCAGGTGTAGCTGTATATTCAATATAAGAAAAGACTAAACATGCAACCAATAAAGAAAACTAATTCTAAGGCGCCATCTGAATTGTATTCAGCTTTGTGCAAACCAAAAACAACAAAAAAGTTCAGAGGGGTTTTATTTTATGTTTCTTGGGTCACTAATGTATAAGGATTTTTGTAATTAAACATTGTAGTTACAACCCCCGACCACCAGATGGCGCTGCAAGCTGTCAAGTGACGCCACACGCAAAACAAAGCGCGCGGAAATCAAACAACTGCCAAAGAAGAAGAAAGAAATGGGGGGGGAAAGTATTTCCAGGAGAAGATCCCGACCGCAAACATAAACATAAACATGGGCTCTGAAATTGACAATAAAAGCGCTACAGACGCAAGTTACATAGATGAAAGTGTCAGTTTTTCCCACGTTACCGCTGTCGCTACTGGGTGGACGTTGGACTTCATGTTTGTGAGCCTGTGTCGGCATTTCAAGGAAGGAAAACATGATAAGTTCAATGAAACGCTTTCCACTTTCGAGGGTAAGTTATTCACAGCTAACAAAGCATTAGTATAGGTGCCTAACTACTATTATGTGAACTACATGCAGCCTCTCTAACTTGCCTCCGGAAATATCGGGTGTAGCTATAAAACAAAGGTGAATTATCGTTAATAATTCATGCTCACAGATGTACAAAACAGAAACAACCTCGTAAAATAAAACGTGAGCCGTTAACTTTAACAGCCAGTGAATTTGAAAATACAAGTCCAAATAAAGCTGCCACGTTGAATGAAAGACTGGTAAAATGTGGCCCAATGTTGACATAAAGTTGTACGAGAAGGCTTTGAATTTATGCGATAACATAACGACGTTAATATAAAGTGATAAAGTCTGTAACTTGAAGACACCTCTAGATTAAAACACAGCTGTTGCTAGCCGCCCTGCTGTGGCTTAAACCCACCTACACCTACAATAACAGAACTCATTTAATCATTATTACTACAATAATGAACAAATTCTCATTCATTTTACCCCTGATACCTGCATTAAAGTGTGTGAATCGGTAATGTTGCTACAGAGACACTTTATAAAGTTTCTGAAGTTTCTTTATCTTTGCTCTTTTAGCCATTTATCAGTGTTCATCTCTGAAAGGAAGACTTCATAATGAGAAAGCCATGATCTGTGCCTTCCTCTCGAGAGTCGTGCACGGAAAGCAATTGGGTAAGTTGTTGCAGTCTGAAGCTGAATTATATATCTTTCCACATCTGCACATTAACTCTGTTTAGCAGCACTGTTTGGGTGCTTTTGAGTGGAAGTTAGTGCTACAGAAAGGTCAGAGCGTACTGTATAATTTACAACATACGTTAGAGTCCCATAGAAATTATAATGACCTGCCAGCAGTTTGGGATTATAAAGCCATCTGTCTTTTCACACAAAAACATATATATATGCAATACGTCCAAAAATCTCAAGCCAATTAGTACATTCCTTATAAAAACTCATTTATATGAGAAAAGTGTATTATTTAGGGTTCTGTTTACAGATGGGCCCAAGGATGTTTACCAGTTGAAACTGTTCCCAGCTGACATTCACACTCATGTAAAAGTGCATAGCTATTAGAGACATGTAGTCGATGTTTTGATGACAAGAAAGTAACTTCAAGCTAAAATGTAAGGCTGAAAAATGTATCTTGTGCTTCTTAACTGCACACACACTCATGTAATACACTGTTTTTCCCCCCAGATGTCCTGTTTGAAGAGGATTCCTGTGTGATGCCTCTGATGTCCGCAGCCAAAATATGGTCAAAGCTAGAGGACACCGTGGCAGACGAAAGCTTGTTCAAAAACATTACCATCCTTTTGATTGTCCAGGTAATCGTACTGAATATTTTGTGGCGTCTGTGTACACAAGATGAGAGAATTTCCAGAGATGGCTTTCAATGTGTCCTGGTGTGATTGCTGGCTGTAACAGATAGATAGCACCAGTTCAAGAAATCGGGTTCAGGTCAGGTCAGCTGAGTCAGTGATCTCTTTTAAGTCCCTTCTTAAAGCACACTTTTATACCTACCTTAATTTTACTTGAACGTTAATGTTGGGAAGTATCTTTTACTTCCTGAACGTTTTTCTTCTTCTTTTAAATTGATGGTTTTATAACTTGTGAAGCACTTTGTAAACTTGGTTTTAAAAGTGCTCTATAAATAAAGATTATTATTTTTAGTCAGGATATTTTGTCCTCATTTTGAGTGGTAACAGTCTGATGCGTTTGCCCCGTTTCCAGTCTGTGGCTGTGTGCATGGAGAAAGGCCAGAGATCCTCTGCCTCTTCTGCCCTCAAGTGGTTTGAGAATAACCATGGATTCCCACAGGTCTGTATGTCCGTTATTGTCTGTTTTCTTTTCACAGCACATGGTCATAACTTGAATATTCGGTGGCCTAGAATCCTTTTAAATTCTCAATTACTAATGTTTTTCAACAGAACTTGGGAGTTAAGCTGTCGACAATAGTGACAAAGAAGGAAACATACCACCCATTCCTTATGAGCTTCACCTTCAGCCGCCTGCTGGAGACAGTACGGTCTTACTTGGATGCCTACTTGGAGAAGAACCCCTCTGACTACCTTCTCAAGGTACAGGACCCGCTCCCAGTATGTTGTAGACCAACAGCCTGTATCAAAATGACACTATGTCACCCCTTCCAAGTTCAGCCTACTTCATAAACTTAGAAAATGTCTGTCTTTCCTAGAATATGTATTCATTTGATTAAATGTGTTTCAACAGATCGTTAGATATTTGGACACTGAACATGCGGGGGAAATGATGAATGAAGAGCTGTTCAGTGTCGTAAAACATGACCTTTAAATCTAAATATATTTAGAGGGGGGAAAAAGAGTTGTGCAGAAAGGCAAAGCACAAGTCTAACATTGTGAGGCAGCTGGATCACAAAATCCTCAAAGAATCTTGCCAGGCTTCACCTATGAGTACAGTGTAGGGTTGTGCAATATGACAGTATAAATCGCGTGACGATAGAAAAGTGTCTATCATTTCGTATTATTCTCTATTGTTTCTTCCTTTTGTCACAAATCATACTACGCAATGTTATTATTCCAATTTTTTCATTTGGATGATGCTTTGCATTCTACTGCACGGCACGGATGCAGGCAAGACATTTGCATGAAGGCAACACAAACAAACATGCAGGAGAGTGAACATGAAACAGAACAGCATCATTGTGAAAAGGAGAACCAGTGTCAGCACACAAATCAAAATGATGAGCTCTTATTTAAAAGAGGGTTTGACTACATTGATCGGATTGGTTGAAGTTCACTCTTGATGGACTGTGATAGACAGATGGTTCATCCAATCACCTGCAGTAGTAGTTTCTAATGATTACTTTAAGGATGGTTCTGTGTAACGAACCATCTGCCGCAGTCAGGTTTTTTTAAAAGTTACTTGGAAAATTGTTTTCCCAGGGTAGGATTTACTTAGTGTATTCATGTTGATAATAAACATTTATACTGCATACATATGGTTTATACCGCTGGCCCTGCAGAACTAATGCCAATGTAAATTTAAAGATCAACTTTGTATAGCTGAAACATAAGGGATGAGAATAGCTGTGCAAGAAAGTATTCAGTCTTGGTGCAAGACATCAACCAAGAGGATTATCCCCACTGAAAAATATTATGAGTGGTGCTGTATTTGATGCTTTAACTTATTAACATATCTGTCTTTTAATACAAAGTGTGAAAAGAATAGTCAGGTTTTTGCTCCGCAGCTGTTTGTGTGGAGTTTCTTCAGTCACACATGATGTAATAGGCAAATACAAGCACAAGGTGTCCAGTGTTTTGCTCCAGCTAACGGCAAGGTTTCACAAACAAATTTTGTAAATCTTGTTCTTGTGCACCGACCTGTTCAGCTTTCGTTCCTCTGAGTAATGGCGCTTTGACCAACTGTACGTGCCGATGTGACATTATCAGTCATAGTTAATTGACAATTTGTCATCAAAATTAGTTGGAAGGGCAAACCGTTAGATTCAGCAGAGCCCTCCTCAGGGTCTAACAGACTCGCTTATTCATGAAAGTTTCAAGTGTGATTTACATGGAGGCCGCTGACCAAGGTTAAACTTTAAAAGGTTATTGTAATGACAGGCCTCATTAGTTTTGCTTTCACATTAAAGCAATACTTAAACCTGAAAGTTAATTATTTTGGAAGAGTATGAAATGGTAATAGTTAGTAACATAATTTATGTTAGTCTGTATTACCGTCTACCTCTCCATCTATCAGGCAGCTACAAAGACGGTCCAGTCATCACAGAACAGGGAGGGTTTGGAGGACACGGTGACACGGGACAACGCTCTGTCAGAAACAGCCAACGAATTAACACTGCATAGAAAGTAGGAAATTACTTTGAACACTCGCAGTTTAATTTTTGAAATGTGTGCACGGCCCATTTATGTTCTGTATTGAACAATATACATCTTTTGTCCCAACAGGAAAAAGAAGAAGGCTGCAGGTTTGAGGTTAGTAGAAATCAGTGTTGAAATGTGTTTTTAATAAGAAACATTTTCTTGGCGTTTGCTGTCTCTCTTTGAGTAGAAATTCAGCAAGCTGTCCTAAACACTAGCTATAGGGCATATGTGGGATAACAATATATGTTGTCACTCTGTATTTCACTTGAACAGAACAAAACGAAAACTACTGTCAACCAAAATAACTGATGTATGGAAACCTGATTCATGCAAGAAGCCTTTAGTCTCTCTCAGGAGAATGTCCAAGAGCGGTAAGTTTTATTTTTCTTCTGCCTATGATGTTTTTTGTTCAAAACTAAACGTATTTGTCTTTAATTTTGATTTTTTTGATTTTCTATAAAATGTAGAAATACATTTACCAGCACATATTTCGTACATATTTCTGAGCATGAACAAAGTAAAAGCGAATGTTAAACCTCCCACCATCAGAGTTGTCTCAGATGATATCTGAGAAGTCAATGGTCTCCTTCGAGAAGTCAGTGGTCTGCTTTGAGAAGTCAATGGACTCAGAAAACAAGGACAAAACAAAAAAAAGAAAACCACCTCAGGTAAGTTGAATCACGCAGCTCATTCAATATTGCGTCCAGTTAATTCATTTCAAATCAAATAAATACACGAAGCATCACTGAAATGCTGCCTTTCTTTTGGGTGGAATTTCTGAAAGTCTAAAAGATTTGAGTTTATGTTCTGCTTTTATTTAGAAATGGACACCCCAGCTGGACAAATACCTCATGGATGGTGTTAAATGTCACGGCCAGGGGAAGTGGTCTCGCATATTATTGGATTATGACTTTGAAGGACGCAGTGGCACCATGCTCAAAGACCGCTGGAGAGTTCTACTGAGGGCACATAAAGTCTGCTGAAAACATGCAGTGCCTCTCTAACTTGTATAATGTAGCAATTTGGTTGTAAATAAAATACTGATTTAGCTGGTCCACTAATTTAACCCATTGCAGAACATAGCCTAATTGGTTGTTGTTTGATTGAATGATGTTCCTGAATGTTATTGGTGTGTTTTTGTTGTTTGCACCAAGAAAGTGTACCACTAGAGGGAACTCAACACAGAATAATAAATTGGGCTGTTTACATTTCCTTCTATGACAGGATACATTTGATAGTATACAAAATCTGTAACTGTGTCCCTCTATTTTGTACAATGTAGCAGTTCTTTAGTTGAAACATGGGGTTAGCTTCTCTCATTTTAAACAGTTGAAATTGTGCTTTTCTGCAGCTCTGTTTGCTCCATGAGAATATCTTACCACCAGAGGGCAGTCAACACTACAATGAGCTGGGCTGCCCCCTGTGATAGAAAACATTACATGGAATCTTTTTTTGTTTCTGTTTCGTAAAGGAGAAAAAAGCACAATTCACAATACAAATGTAAAATAGCTTTAAAAGTTAAATATTTTTGCCAGAAAATTGTCAATAAAGGAATACAGCAGTGGCTTGTTTCAATAAAGATATGCAAACTTAATTTTCATAGGTGCTTAATGTGTGCTAGGAAAAGGTGAAATAATGTAGTGTCTACACAGTATGGTGCAAAGTTACACAGAGCAAATGTGCATGGTGATTGCAGTGATTTGAATATGCTTTTATATCAGTGAATGGCATATTTAATAGAGACAATTGCATTGCACCTCCCTCAAGTCTTAAGTCTTCTTAGTATTGAAAGCATGGAGACGTCTGATCTGAACACAACATTCCAGTTTCATTGCTGAGGGGAGCTTGGCTGTGAAATGTTCTTGTGGACACCAGATCAGAGTGCTGCGGTGCTTGGTTTGGATCAGATGAAGACGAAGCTGTGTTGTGGTGGACAGTTGCACTGCTGGGTTTGCTGGATCTTCTTCCATGTCCCACTGCACTGATAGTTCCCCACCGCCTGCCAGTGGAGCACAGCTTCTCTGCAACACAGTCACAGCCACGGTTGTTTATGGGTTTTCACACCATTTCTGCAGTCGACTGATTTACTGCCTTGCTCAAGGGCACTTTAAGAGTAAATTCAAAGGGAGGTGGGAACTGATCCTGCTCACTTTTCTCCTGGATAAAATGGCTGTTTCATGAATTGGTTAAGCTTTGATTCTGACTCTTAAATGAAATAAGGGCTGATCAAATGGCAAAACCAGAAAAATACATTTAAATGTAAGATGCCTAATCTGAACAAATACGCAGCCATAAACAATTGCGGAGAGAACATGCATATAAAGGTTCATAACTTCATACTTGTCTGATTCCTGACCATCTCCTTGGCACCTCCCACTATTGTTTCTCATGGCAGGAGGTTCACATGCCACACACACTTTAAAGCCTTCTGTAATGTAGCGCATCCAGTGCGTGTGTGGTCGGTTTTCCACCGTACAGTGGGGTGTCCGGGACTCCAGTGTGAATTCCACACAGAACCTAGAGGGGAGAAGGGGTCAGGGTCATTAGATTCACACTCTCAATCCTGGGATATTGGGGCCAATCAATCAAGATAGAGGACACAAGAAGACAATTTATGTACGCAATAGGAGGACATCACCCAGTTTGTGACTGGCATAGGGATAATTTGTTTCATCAATGTAGTATGGACACACCCATTATGACATGGGAATAGTTGATTCAGCCAATGGCTATACTGTAAGCTGCACAAAATAACTCACCTACTGTCATCTAGACCCTTTGTGTATGTGCTTTTCATGTAACAGTCCTTATTAAAGTCTGAGTGTTTCATTTCAAAGGGTTGTGGGCAGTCGCGCGGCATTAATGGTTTGTAGACAGACATCCAGGTGAGCAAACACCTCCTGGTAGCTCATGCAGATAGAGGAAAAGGTATCTCTTTTTTTTTCAGAATGGTTTGAGTTACACAGCATAATGCTAAAATGAAGTTAACCCCTGGCTGCATTCATGAACTTTTCAACTCTTGAATTCACAGATATGTGAGGCTGTGTGCATTTTCAGAATATTTGGGGAGGCTTTAGGAGCATGATATGAAACCTACCCAGGGTCTAGGGGGTTTCCATAGTTGTCATGCTTGGGCCTACCCTTGCCAAACTCCATGCTGGTGATGAATGCAGGACCTGATAAGAGAAAGAGAAACCAAGTTCAGGTTAAGCTGATTTAAAGTGCAAAGTCCAAAGTTGTAACTTTACAAACAAGATGAAACGGGGAAACTATATAAAAAATGTGTTTATGTACCTGAGTTGTGTCCACAGTGGCCGCCCTGGTGGTCTCTGTACTCCCTGCAGCCGCTTCGTTGCTCCAGGCTTGGACAGGGTTCTCCGCTGTTACTGGGCTGCTGCTCTACGTGACGTACACGGACGCGTACCGAGGGCTGGCAGGGCTTGGCACAGCCGCTCCAAAAGCTCCAGTCGCTCACAGCACAGTCCTGAGCTGGATGTTGGCACCCACATTGTGCAAGAAAGATTATTACAGGATACCTTCTGTGGTAGCAAACAATCAAACCTGCCCTGAAACTCAAGAGATGTTGACCCTGACTCCTTCAGTTCACAGTGTGTGCTGAGGTGACTCTTCTGAGTCACAGCAACAGTGAAACCTTACAGCGTTTACAAAATGAAGCTAAATATTCAGGAAATAACTTAAGATCAATGAAGCATTGACTGTGACTTGTAGAATTAGTGTTCCCTGCTCCACTACAAGTACTTTGAAAGCAGGCCAAGTGAGCAAACCCATTCAATCTCCAAGTCCTGTGATTTTTCTTTTCATTTACTCTCTGTGCTTGATGATCAAGCTTTGATGTATTAAGCATGCACATTTAATGACTGCCAGCCTAAAACACATATTAGGTACGCTTGGCTTGTTTGACTACAACTGTAATTGCTACAACTGATTGACAGAATCACATTCTTCAAATATTTGTACTAATGCCATTATGTGGGCCAGTCCACTGAAATGAGGTTAGACGCAGAGCTGCCTGGGTTATTTGGTGAACTTATTACTGCCTTTTTGTGACTGAACAGCCATGACACACAAAAAAACTAGTTAGAAGGTGAAGAATACCTAGAACAAACCACGCATGAGAGTTTGACAGGACTTAAAGATAAATGTGCTCAAACAATTTCACATGCCTTGGATGAATATGTGATAAGCAGCCCGGTAATGACCAGGTACTGAAAATAATCTCCTCTTCTCCAAGCTATCTTTATCTTCTCTCCAATAGACAGATTCAGAAGATCTTCAGGTTATCTCATGCGACAGGTTATCTTCCACCGGTGTCATATAATTAAGGTGTGTGCAAAGAAAAAGAAAAAAACAGCACCTCCTCTTGTGATTCATTCACACTCACAGCGTCCCATTCATTCATCCCTCACCTGGGCACTCTGTGAAGTAGTCGAAGCAGCAGTCCTTGGTCCTGACGCAGCCCTCGTCGCAGTAGCACATCCCATACACACGGTCCATCCTCCAGTCAGTGGACTCGCAGCTCAAGTCTCTGCCCCTGCAGCATTTCCCTGAGCAACCCCCAAACACCAAGTGGTTCTTTCCCAGACTAGAAACCACCAGCAGCAAACAGGCAAATTCCACTGAGGATCCCATCATGAGGGGGGTCAGGCCAGACCCCTGGAGTAAAACACTAGCCTCTTACTTGCACTAATATATAATTTCTTATTTCTAAGTGTATTTATTCCCTCCCTGGTCCTACTCTGTCATACTCAGGACCGCGAGAGGGAGAGGTTGGAATACCAGCCAAACCCTGCCAAGACCGTGCTCTGCCACAGGAGCCCTTGTGACCTGGAATTCCTGTCTCTGTCTCCTGTGTCCAGCCCCTCTGTTTACCTCCAGAAACAGGTCTGCAGAGCAACCTACAGTACGGAACACCCCATTCCAGCCCCCAGTCAGACTCCCATGTCTCTCATATTGTGTGTGCAACCTCTCCCTTCAGAGCTGGTGTCTCTCTCTCCCTGTTCCCAGCTGAGCACCTCCCTTCACTCGATCACACAAGGGAGGAGACAACGAGGGCAAGGGAGGGGTGAGCTAGTGAGTTTGGAGTGCGCTCTGCCTCCTGCTCTCTCTCTCTCTCTCTTGCCTCTTTCTCACCTGTCTTGTTGTTGTTTACCCCTTTTATTTCTTACCGTCTCCCTGCAGAATTACAGTGACCCTGATCTGCCAGTCTTGCCCAGCCGCTCTCTGCCACCCCAGACCTCTGAGTCCCAAAAGAAAGGGAGGAATGTGAGCAGTTGGCAGGTCTCCAGACAATTGTGCCAGGGGGCCCGCTGAGTGTTGTAAAGCCACCCTTTGGTTCTCACCTCTCTCCCTTTTTCTCATTCTCATACTATTGCTATTGTTACTGTAATCTAACAGAAACACTACAATGTAACGATTTTCTCTGTTACATTTTGTGCCTTTATTTGATGAATTAAGTTATCTGATATGTTATTCGTCGAAATTCTGGGGAAAAGGCTTATTTGCTCTCTTGCCAGGTTGGATGAGAAGATAAATACCTCTCATATCTGTGCACTAAATATGGAGACACAGCAACAAACTGCTTAGTTATGCATAAAGACATGATTTTTAAAAGCCAACCTACCAGCTCCTCTAAAGTTCACTAATAAATAAATCTCCTTTGTTTAATCCATACAGTAACTGAAGTGTAAAAACAACATGTTGCTTGGCAATCTCATGCTGAAAAGACTCCAAGAAGTGACTACCTGGCCAAGAAATAGTCCAGCACATTACCCCATAAAATTACAACCAGTTGTTTTTACACTTTGGTTTTTATACAGCTCTTGGCAAGAAAGTGTATTTCCTAAAATGTCTATTTGCTTAAGGGTCCTGCAATGAGACAGCATGCATACAGCGGGGCTGTGAACCAGTGAGCTGGAGCTCCAGTGTACATGACTATTTGCAGGCCAGGATGTGGCCTTAATTTACAACTCTTGACATACAGTGCAGGCGAACAGTAGATCACAGATTAATTTCATATACTTTCATTCCGGAGAGGCATGTCTATGA